TCCAATGACACTATCCACACGGTCGTTTGGCTACCCTCGCCTGAGAAGTGGACAGGAAGACTCTTGGGCGCCGGTGGTGGAGGATGGGCTGCGGGACCCGAAACCAACACCACACTCCCATGGGCGGCTAGCGAGGGTTTCGTTACCGTCGCGACAGACGGAGGTCACATCGGGCAGGATATCAGCTGGTCGCTGACTAACTCTGGCGATGTCGATTGGGTGTTACTAGAAGACCTTTCCTCGGTCTCTTTAGATGATGCCGCGACGCTGGGAAAGGCGATCACTCATTCTTACTATGGCAAAGCACCGAGCTATAGCTATTGGAATGGATGCTCGCAGGGTGGCAGACAAGGTTACATGATGGCGCAGAAGTACCCCAATCAGTATGATGGTATCTTGGCGGCTGCACCAGCTATCTACTGGAACGAGTTGATGATGCAACTCTTCTGGCCGCAGGTTGTCATGAACGAGAATGGTCAGTACTCAAACGAGGGCTACACATGAATGACTAACACACATCAGGGTTTCCGACTCCGCAGGAATTTGAAGCTATCAACGTTGCTGTTGCCGAAGCCTGCGATGGTCTCGATGGTCTGGAGGATGGCATCATCTTGGCACCTCAAGACTGCACCTTTGACCCAATGACCGTCGTTGGCAAACAATATCTCTGCCCCTCTACCAACCAGAGCATGACTATCACGAACACCCTAGCCAAGGTAGCAAAGTTGATATGGCAAGGCGCAACAACTCCCGAAGGCGAATTCCTGTGGTACCCCGGCAACATCGGGGCTTCGTTCGTTGGCCTCGCATCAACAACATGCAGCAAGAACAATACATGCGTCGGCGTACCGTTTGCCGTACCACAAACCTGGATCACCGACTTTGTTATCCGCGACCGCGAATACGACACCGCACGAATGAACACCACGTATTTCGAGCAGCTCTTCCACGATGCTGTAGCCCGTTACGACTCTGTTATCGGAACCGCAAACACAGATCTCGACGGGTTTCGAAAAGCGGGGGGCAAGCTCCTTTCGTGGCATGGGTTGGCCGATCAGGCTATCGCGCCTGATGCGACTGCGCACTATGCGCAGCAGGTGCATGAGCGTGATCCGAATTCCAGTGATTACTATCGCTACTTTGAGGCGCCTGGCGTGGATCACTGCGGCGGTGGGCTGGGTTGGTATCCTGGCGATGGTCTTAAAACCCTCATCGATTGGGTAGAGAAGGGTGTGGCACCTGAGATGCTGGAAGCGGAGTCTGCGACGGGTAGGAAGGCGCAGCTGTGCTTATGGCCGAAGCATCTAGTTTACGCTGAAGGTGACCCCGATAAGGCAGCTTCGTTCGAGTGTCGGTAAATTGCAGTTATGGCCGATTCCAGTGCGATATTTTAAACACGTAGCAACATCGTTACCATCATGTCTCATCGATACATTCCGATCTGATCGTGCTTAATCTAATCATTTTGAGGCGGAAGACTATAAGCCTTCAGCTGACAGTAGCCAGGCTTGGGCCAATCAGATTTAATGTGCTGACTATGTTGAATGTAGTGCGGGGGCGAAACACAGGAGCTGAAGCTTGGCGCATCCAAGCACCCAAACCCTCGTGTATGATGTTACCTTGAACGATGTCCTGGTAACTTTGTCGTTTATACACGTTCTCTTCTATATCTTCAACGCACATAGCCAAACAAGACCGACTGGTCCAGGATTGACAGCCCTTCTCTGTTGGGAACACGGTCAGCAATGTCACGAGGCTGAAGACGCTACAAAGATGGCAGAGGTGCTCGCCGTCCTGGGTATGAAAAAGACTTCAAATATTTTGTTCAATATATGAGCTAACTTCTTATCTGCTTCTTCGCAGGTGGAGTGGGCTCGATCTTCAGCATCGTAGATGGCATCAGTAAGGTCATCGGAATCATCCGCGATCTTCAGACCAGATGGGGCGAGGCTGATCTCACTTTGTTGAGTCTGGCATCCCAGCTCACAGCCTTACGGGCAGCCTCGACGAAGATACAGGAGTGGATAGATCAAGATCTTCAAGACAATCATCATCAGCTGGTCATGGACCTGGACGTATCAGTGTCTTGCTGCAAGCTGTTGATGAACAAGATCGAAAGCTTTTTTACCAATCTTGCACAGCTGACAGAGAAACCGCTCGATCTTCGCGATAAATACAAGGTTGCTTTTGGAAGCAGCGGCCCAGAAAGCGTACAGAGACTTATTGAGCACCAGACGAGCTCGCTCACTCTGTTATTGACAGCCTGTAACTGGTAAGTGTTACCATTGCTTACAAAGCGATAGCCCATACTTATACGTTCAGCAAAACTATATCTGAACAGCAACGATATCTTGGTACACATAAGACCCGTAAAGTTCTTGACCGAGCGAAAGCGGACTCGATGTCTCTTTATGTTCATCGCGACTCTGCATCTCTGACCAGCAGAATCACAGACAACATGTCAAAGATATCGCGCATCTTCGATTTTGACTCGGACATATTTTCCTCGGGGGTCTACGAGCGAGCATTCCGTGGCTCGGTCAGAGATCTTCTGAAACGACGACAGCAGACCCTAAGATCTCATCCGCCTATTCCATCGATTCCAGAATCTACAATGACGGTCAAAAGCTTGCACAATATTTGCCTTCTGGGACCGGACCAGATTGGCATGGATTTACTCGTCAATACCATTCCAATTGATCGAGACACCGCTCTTGATGAATGGACTTTACATCAATGGGAGATGCGAAAACTATTCCTAAACCTTGTGGCAATCATTGCTGGGAGTGGCTCGATCTTGTCAATCTCAGAGGACATTAGAACCGTTCGGTGGTTCATGAAGACTGAGCAGTATCTGGCGCAAGAGCATTACAGTGAGACCGATCTGATGACTGCCGATGCGCTCCAAGCTTGTACAAGAATATGGAGGGGTGCGGTGCAGTATGAACAAGAATTTCATGCCTACAATGCTTCTGGAAAGAAGATCGAGTTCAAGAATATGTTATTTTGGGTCGCCGAAATCCCGGACCGAGGCCTGAGTATCACCAGTGGCAATTACGCAGCCACTTTGTACGTGAAACCATATGCTCGTGTGGAAGATCTAAGTTGACCATTCACTAGCTTCGTTCACCGCCTGGAGCGTATCTTACATGCTAACGGTATCATCGGATTTCAAGAAACCGCTCCACTTGCAGAGCTTCTGAGAGGCGCAGAAACAGCATTTGAAGATGTCGCCTTCCAATTTCCGATTGGATATCCTGGTTCGATGAAGGTTGTCAAGACGAGTATAGGCCACGCTGAAGATGAGACTGCGTATGTGTTGTTCGTTGATCTCAAAGACTGGAATCTCGGTATGATGTTTCAGAGGAGAGCCGTAGAACGCTTACTCGCGTCAGTGAACGTATTATTCACCCATCAAAAACCGGTGATTGGTCTCGTTTTGAGACACTCTGGTATGTCCTCGCAGCAAACAAGAACATCGGATCTATTGTCACAAGTTGGGAGAACGACAAACGACGGCGCTAAAGCAATCTCGCATATCACTATGGTTCTCAAAGACTATCTCAAGATCGACGATTGGGACTTTTCATTCATCTTAAATGAAGCTGGGGATGCGCATTCGGCTAGAACACTTGTTCGTTTAAAAGAGATCATAAGCAGTATAAGAGTGCGTACGGGATCTTCTAGCCTTGATTGAATACGGACAGTCAAGTAGTCGCTGTGAATACCTCGGTCAGGCATACCAGTAGTGCTATTCGAGGCAAACTTCTGTCAGCGGTGTTTATCTTTTTAGAAGGAGGTACTTGGACTTGCGATGGTTTCCATTCGAGAGTATTCTCTGCCTACAGGTCGAGTGGGTTGTAGAAGAGATTATTAGCTCGTGGTCTCTGGGTCGCAATTGCAGTGCTATGGAACTATTCAAGCCGATCTGTGGCGCTCCTCTGCACCGTCGTTATAGTCTTGCTGTACTATCAATACATTCTTTCCAATACTCAAATTTGTCTTTCCCAAGTGATAGTCTAATGACATTGTCCAAATCCAAAGGTATCTTTCCAAGACGGAGGTTTCTGGTGATCGATCCAGCCGTGTAATGGAGCAACAAACCTCCTACTCTTCGGCAATGCAGTCTACATCCGACCGTAACTTGCGAAGTTCTAAGCGGCCACTTCAATTTCACCACCAGCTTTGACTGGAACAAAGTAGGCCTCGCCACTTTTCAGCTTCGCGTCTTCTCCCTCAACCGACCTCAGTCCCGCAACATACTCATCATGTGGACCTGGTAGTGACTTCCATGTATATGCTTCAGAATAGAGTGCAGCTTCGAAGGTTTTATGACTGAGTTTTGCATCAACGCGAACCCGTATCCCCAGAAGACGAGATATGTCAGCAGTACTCTGCCGCAAAGGATTCGGAAGACGAAACTGCCTGTGCAAAATAGGTTAGCCGTAGTGTATGTGTCGGTGCTTATCCCTCACTTACTCTACGTGATGGTTGAAAGCCAAGGTGGAATGCTCAGCAAGGCTATGTCCTGTGCGACCATCTTGCTCGTACAGAAACCTCGTCATTATCTCCGCTGCTTCGTGAATAGGAAGACTGTCCACTCCAGTCACGTCTTGGTTGATCAATCCAGAACTCTGATTCTTTTTGTGATGGGTTCTTTCGTGCCACAGGAGGTTCGCTGGTATGGCTCCGTCCTCTTTCCAGTCTAGCATTATTTTGGGCCGGATGTGTTGCTGCGTCATTACGGATCTCAAGGCCTCAAATATCCAACCGTTAAGCTCTTTACAACTGAGATGTAGTTGTTCAAGCGAGAAAAGAAGCGCTGGCAACTCGCGCTGGAGAGGCACACGGAGCATGAAAAGAGGCCCAGCTACCTCAGGCCCACTGAAAAGCTTCTGAGGAAGTATGTCGCTATTGTAGGTCTCGGTCTCCTTCATGAGCAGCTCCGAGATGGCTCGATTTGTAATATTGAGGAACGTTGTGTTGCTAGGTCCGCCATCCTAGAAGAGGAGGTTGATGAGTGGAGTGCTGTGGACGCTCATTTTACCACCCACACGAACAATTTGCTTCTTCTTGCCACGGCCATTGGTACGCGCAATATCACTCACCTTTATTCCATGCGCGCGAACCAGGCGATTGGTACACTGGTCGAGTGCTGTCGGTCTACTGCCCATGAAGATAACGGACTCTCCAAGCAGTGCAATTGCATTGTCGATATCTTTCCACTCTTTCGTAACTAACTTCTCCGACGAATCTGCCTCATTTGCGCTATGGGCGTTATGAAGGAAGTTGTAAAGGTGCGCATATCCCAGTACAAGTCCATTGCCGTTCTGCATAAGAAGGAGTAGGTCATTAGCAGCATGCATGACCACAAACGAGATCGTTCCAGCAAGGAACGGATTCATGGTGACCCAATCGGAGTGGTTGCGGTTTTCATATGTTTCCGGCGACCAGGTCTCGTCGTGACCATGGGTTTGCCGGACACTCGCTAAGCGAGAGTTCCAGATTGGGTCTGAACTCAACCAGATCAGCCGTTCCATCGCATCGGAAGGGTCGCGAAAGAAGGAGTTTAGGTTTGCACGTCCCCATGGACTCTCCAAAAGCAGTGATGTCGTCAACACGTCCTGTAAAAACCCGCCCCTGTCAACGTACGTCCATATGTTCTGATAATCTTCCAGCACTAGGCCAGGGTTCTGACTTGAGACAACATCCTGTGCGACTAGGTAGAGATCGGTATACAGCCACATCTCTAGGGAAATGTTTCCTCCATAGCGGGTCTGGTCCGTAGGCTTAAGGTCCTCGCAGATGCGTCGATTTAGGTATGTATACCATGCCAGTGTAAAGTTATCCATAGTAGGCAGTTGTTTATCCACCCGTCTTATCATCCATACGATATCATCGAGGGCGTTTGAGAGCTATTGTAATTTACGGTCAGGGGAGGTAAGATAGGCAACATCCCCTGAATCGACATAGGGCTCGATGTGTTGCAATACATCCCAGATGTAAATGTAAGATTGCAGACATCCATAGGTCAGCAAGACATCCGGGATCTTGACTTCACAGCGCCTTTCATTCCCTCTAAGTGTGTGTTGCATCGCTCGGATCTCGTCCGTATCTCTCCTCATAGTCTTGCAGATCTCAGAATCAGCGAAGAACGTATGCCAAAAGCTCTCAACGTTTCTTATCTCGGGGAAGGAAAGCGAAAACTCATGCACTAAGCTCTTTATCATCTGCATAGCCGCTTGAGTCGTTGCCGCAGTCGAAACAAGGTCGGTGTCCTTCCGGTAATAACGAGCCCAGGTTGTTTGGATGACGACCTTGATCTGATTATAATCGCGCATCAGCATGCTCATGGCGATCAAACAGTCGTCCTTTTGGTTGTCGACAGTGTATGTCGTCTTCGAAGTTGGTGCCGGTTTGGCAGTGGCGGCTGCCTGTCCACCACTTTCCGGCTCCTGGTCTGCCAGATCTTCAATTTCAAGCGAGCTGAACCTGGTGTTCAAACCATTCACGGATGGTGGCGTTATATGCTCATCGGGCTTGAGTATCGCTTTACCAGTAGTGATGAAAGGCTTCAGTAGATCAAGTGCGTACTCTAAAGTCCCCGTGAAGGTAGCATGTGCCTCGTTGCTAGCAGCGAATGCGTGCTGTAGGTCTTCATCTACGTTTTGAGTCTGGTTTTCGTGCCATAGCGTCGACTTGGTGCGATGGCGGATTGCTCGAGCTGCGGCTCTGCTGGCGTAGAGTGGCACCGCAAACCTTTTGGGGGGTTTCTCCGCTACGGCAGTGGCGCATGTTTTCAGATCATTGATGGTGATTTTGCGTGCTTGTGAAGACCTGACTTGGGGTTCAGCCGCGCGCGCTTTCCCTTGAGTCGACCACCAGTAGCTGCAGCAGTAGCTTGCGCTGGCGCAGTGGTAGAAGGGACGAAGCCACAACGACTAGCAGTTTCAACAAGCCACGTAACAAAGATCTCGGTATCAGCTTTATACTCTCGGTAGCTGTTGGCGATGTTATCTGGAAGCATTTTAGGCGCGTCTGTCGGTGTGTTGACGCTGTGAAATGTCACGTCGCCCTCGCACGCACTCGTGGACAGGTCTCTTATCGTTATCGTCACGTGCGCTAACGCCGCGCTACCCGTCAACCCCCTGCAAACATCGTCATAACTCCTCTCATGATCTTCGATTCGCCATTCAGCCACATCACACAGCGGCTATGACAAGCTTGCTGTTACTTCCCAATGAGCTCACACAGCATATCGCATCTTTTCTGCCCTGCTCGTCAGCCCTCAATCTTTCTAGAGCCAATCGACAATTGCGAACCGTCTGCAATGACAGAATAGTATTCCACAACATTGCAAAGTACAATTTAGGACAGCTCCTGCTCTCTGAAAATGGCATAGAACTATCGGAAACCCATTGGGCGGAAGCCGACTCCGTCTTAGCCACAACGACCCTACAAGAGACGATCCGCATCGCATATGCAGCGGAGAGATGCATCGGGGCTCTGCTCGAGAGCGGCGACACATGGACCCTACGCAAAGCCAAGGAGGTCGATTCATATGAACTGAGTAGATGGCTACCGCATATCATGGCTTTGCACCACCCTGTAACTGCACAGCTCAAGCCCGAAACATTCCTGGAGCTTCAAGGCCGCTTACAGGTTCACTTCCAATCAGATGAATACTCACCCAACCTCCTCGATGTCAACTTCATCCTCAGCTACACTATCTTGACGCAACTGCGAATGACGGGAAACGGGAAGCAAGTCAAAGCACCCTTCGACCGCTTCTTCTCCGTGAACCACATAAAAGATCCACCAATAGTGGCGAGTAACGGCGTGAGATTGGATGGAGATGCGATTAAGAGCCTTCGGCAGCGGGTGCGGGACTATGGTGCTTTCCCCAGGAGACATGGCGATGGATTCGGATTGGATCAAACTACGACTCTGCTCCCCACTTTTATGCTGGAACTCGCTGTACATGGTTCAAGTCCATTGCACGATACCGCACTCCCGTCACCTACCAAAATACCTTTCAACTCATTCGTACACTTCTTGCCGACTATCTTCGCCAAGAATCCAGCACCTGCTTACGAAGATGAAGATGACGACGTACCGTTCGGCGAATGCCACGCTCAAATGCTCTCACCCGACTTCCTTTCTTCCGGGCAGTGGACGGGTTACTCCTCAGACCAGCGGAGGGCCTTGGGAAGAAGACGTTTCGATCCACTTATGCACAGTATACAACTTGTCGCACGAGACACCGATACACCAAAGTGGGATGTCGGCGGCTACACCACATATACGATTATCGATTCGCAGAGTCGAGGGACTGATTCTGTCGGAGACTTTTCACTGGAAGGCCGCGTGCGACACAACGATGGAGATATTCTCTTGACGAAACGATATCTTTCAGAAGACTTGTCATGTGAGTGGGAAGCTCGAATGACACCGTTTGGTATGGTGGGTGCCTGGGGCACTGGACGAGGTCTTGATACGAGATTTAGGGGGTATTTTTGGATCTGGAAGGAGGAATGGCAAGAATTGTAATAAACATGTCAGCTCAATACTAGATACAGGGAGTTCGCGGCCGAACATACTATGGTGCCACGATGACCTACAATATACTATTACCGTGTGTCTTCCAGCCCGGAATCACCTCAATAATATATACTAGTCTCTATCTGCAGTTATACATTGCTCGAGTTGCTCAGCTAATCAGCGGCAATGTCTTCCACATCGACCTGACGTACTCTTCACAATTACTGCCACAGGATCAATCTCGACCATACCGGAAAAGCATCCCTATGTACAAGTGTAGCGACGCGAACATTCACTGCTTATCTACTGCGTATCACGGGCTGGGTATAGCCCCTTTACTGTGTTACAATACTGCGTTAACTAGACCGCGTTGTGGGCTCTGCTTAAGCATCGACTCCAGTCTCTCCTCAAGAGTACAAGTGTAGCGAAGCAACGCAATCGAACTCAACGCAAGGAATAGCATGGCATACGTCCGACCATTGCCACCCCATATGACAAAGTGTCATACTTCGGCAACCTTAGCCTCTTATCTTCCGTTTCTCTCTCGACTTCAGCACTTCCTCAAACCACCCAGATATTACCCGACACGGTACTCAAAGCTTCTCGCGTCCACACCACACCAACGCACCCAGGTCGTCTCGAACGAGAAGCGTCGTTAACCGAACAATCAGATGTCATCCAATCGATCAGAGCTGCAACAGGCTTTTGAATGACTTAAGCAAATGTATTGAGACAGCTGTGATGTACGAATTATTCGCAGCTCATAACAACCACAGGAAGACACCGCGTATCCCCATATCTTTTAACGAACTCTTAGCAACATACAACCCTCAAAAACAATGCGTCAAAACCCACCTATCCACAGAAAGGCTGAATGAAGCAAGACGACTCCGCCGCAAAACTCAGTCACGAAGACCAGACCAGCACATCACCCGAAACAAAACGAACAGCCAGAACGTTAGCATCACGCAAATCCACACCACAAACCTGAGAAGCAAAACAGCTTTGACAATATCATTCCATTGACCAGGAGAAAATGCATAATCTCCCAGAACGCTACGACACGCACACGTGTCTATCAGACCTCCATAATAAGGCGTGACACTGTACCGCATCGATCCCAGTATACCTCGTGAACATCATCGTCAACTCTTACCCTAGACGTCCATACCCATGCAAACCCTCCCTCCCCATGATCCCTTGAAACACACCGCCAAGAACGCCATAACCATCCCTCACCCCCAACACTATCTCTCCCATCTACGACGTATCCATAGCCTCGCCCGCCCCGGCCGCAGCCGCAGCCGCCTTACTCCGCTCCGCCATCTTCTCCGCCAACAGATTAGCCTTCCAACTCTGAATCTCCTCCCTGAGCTCATCATTCGGAATGACATCCTCAATCTTAAGCGGCGTCCGATTAAACGGGTCATGCGGATCACTCAGCAGATGCGCCTGGATAGTACCTCTATCAACAATCTGTTTGCTAACAGGAAGCGTGACGGGGTCTTCCATGAGCGACGCCAAAATAGGATCGAGGTACTGATCAGGAATCTCTCCGAGGTCAGCTTCGACCATGTCCGCTTGCTCTTTAGCGGTTTTGATACGCTCGGACATGTTTTCCCACTGTGTCATTTGCTCTGGGGTCTTCAGTTTGAAGCGTTGGAGGATCTTGTAGGCTTCGTCCATGTATTCGGGGCGGTAGGAGCGACCGTCTGTGGCAACGGCGTCGATGAAGGATTGCTTGGATTCGAGGTTGAGGTAGACGTCTGTGACTTCTGCGAGCATGTTGCGTGGGTTCCAGCCGTATTCCTCTGGGTTTTCGACTTTGAGTTGGGATTTCTTGGGGCCGACGAGGGCTTCGAGGTTGTAGTCTAGCATGTGGGCGAGGCGCACGACGACTTCCTTTTTGGTGAAGGAGTCGGCGAGGGCTTCGGTGAAGAGCTTTAGCATGGCGACGGTTTCGTTGGTGAGTTGCATGTAGCTCTTGGCCTTGCCCTGAGCTGATGACAGCTTTTCTTCCCTCTCTTGACGCTCCGTCTGCTCCATGTTTGCTGGGGCATTCTTGAGCTCTCGTGATAGATCGTGGATCTCCTTGAAAGCGGTGAATGACTCGTCCAGGACGAATGTTACATCGTTGAGGAGCAGGTTGACGAATTGAACGAAGAAGTCCAAGTTGACGCGCGCTTCAGTCGCAAGGTGCTCGCGATACACTGGGTTCGGCCAGATGCACTTGATGACCTGGAAGATCTCGTATCGAATGTTGAACTTGTCAAAGAACTGCGTATGTGTCCCGGTGCTCTCACATTCGATGTAGAACTTCATCAGTGCGTGGAGCAAGTGCTTCATGGCGAAGTCGTGTGCAAATAGCGTGTCGCCAAGCACGCCCTTTGGCTTACCGTGAATTTCCCATACTCCGTGGAACAGAATGGTGACAAGACCAGACTTTAAGTATGGGTTCTTGATGTACTCTGAGCTTCTCAGGAAGGTAATGCAGATCTTGACAATTTCCTCGCACTGAGTGGTTGTGATAATATGCGGCATGTAGCGAGTGATGAATTTGAAGTTTCCAACGATGTCTTCGACGAAATATTCAGGTAGACACCTGAACTGCAGTGGTTGCTCTTCGGGTAGAGGCAGCTGCAGCTCTGACTTAGGGAAGTTGGTACCGGGCGAAGCAAGTCGTAGCAGCCACACGATGACGTATCGCATCAATTGCATAGACCGAGCTTGTGTAGTCTCATCAAGCAAGACACCTTGAATGGCCAGGATGCTACACTTGGCCTTCTCGATCTGGTCTTTCATCTTCTTGATGTGGTTGTCAAAGACAGCCAGCTGCGCCTGACTAGTCATGTACTTGGGTCGCTCGGGCTCGAGCTTAGCAAGCTCCTTCTCAAGGTACTTTACGTCCTTTTGAAGGGTACCCAATTTGGTATTGGCTGCCTCCAGACCATAGTGATGAGCAGCCACTGTCAAGAAGAAGACCTCGCTGATGAAGTTGTTGGTACCTGAGGCTTTGGTACTGTAGAACTCGTCCGATGCATTCTGGTCGGCATTGATCTTTGTTTCATCTTGGATATCAACGCGGGGTGATCGGCGAAGGTAGTCAATGTCGATGCGATCGATCTTGGAAAAGGTAGCGTCCATGAAAGGCTCACAGAGACGATCTAAAATCACTGTGACATTGACCATGAAGCCATCTGATGATACCGTTTTCCTGTCCACTTGTATCGCACGCCTCTTGTGGTTCTTATTGACTGTAAGCGCTAACCAGTCCAGCATCTTCTCGCGAGATTCCTTGTTCTTGATGAAAGTGTTCGTAATGTCCAGCAGTTCTTCTTGGTGGGTTTGAAGTGTCATGCGGACAGCTCGTTGCGCGTTGACGATGAGTCCCTTGTCGACAGCCGCGGAGCCAGAGAAGTAGTTCATGGCTACGTCAGCCTGCATAGGGGATAGACGGAAGAAGGGCCCTAAGAAGCTATGTGTTTCGATATGTTGAGCCTCGATGTAAGCAGGCAGAAACGTCTCAGACTGTGCCATGGCAGCCACGAGCGGCGGAAATCGGACGAATACCCGCAGGATCAACATGTGTGCCTTGTAGTCTCCATTCATAGAAACCTTAGAGAGGCGTCGGCTGACATCCACCATAGCTTCCACAAGTGTGTCCTTGATGATATCGTCTTCGCCTATCCGCTGGCTGGCTTCAGTGAGGAACTCGTAGCAGATGCCGCGCTCGTCGTCAGGTCCGAGAAGTAAGCGATCAGCCAGTGCGTTCTCCGCGGGTGGGTCTTCCTGGAACATTTCTGGCATGCTAGCCGCGAAGATGCAATAGCTGAAGCACACTCGCCGGGCCTCTTTGACAATTTCGAACCGTGGACCAGTCTTATTGGCGAGGTTCTTGAGCGCTTTGGAAACGCGTTTCCAGCAACTCATAGTATATTCCAACGCATAGCCCTGATGCTTTTCTGACGCTGCTTCCATTATGATGGAATCCAGTTGATCTGTAGTAAAGCGGATTGGCCTGCCCTGTTCCTCGAGATCGCGTCTGGGGCCTTTCGCAAAGTGTAGCTTATGTCCGTGTGCATCGTGCGTATGGCTCTCGTCCAGAGTTACCCTAAAGATGCTGCTGATTGTCCGATCCTCCCACGCTTCTATGCTCAGTTCCGGCGCCTTCTGGGCGGGCTGCGGTGTGGGGCCATTGCTCGACGACTGTGCGGGTTTGATAGTGATGCGCTTCTTGGGCGGCTCGTCGGTCTTGACGCCTAATTGGGAGAAGGGATTCGCGGTCGGAGTGGGCTGCGGTGGTGGCGCCGGTGATTCAGCGGGCTTTGGGGATGAAGTGCCCGATGATGCGGCTTCGGGTGCGGTCGAGGGCGGCCGTGAAGGACCATTTGGAGTCGCAGGGCCGCCCAGCTTTGCAAGGCGCTTTGCACGGATCTGGAAGATATCCTCGTCAGCGTGTCTCTTTGACAGGCGGTCGGAAGGTGAGCTCACCTTGTCGGCGTCGGACATGGCGTCCGGCGCAGCAGCGGGTGCAGGTGCAGGTGCGGGTGCAGCATCAGGCATTGCGCTGTCTTGCTGCTCAGATGTCGCGTTGTCTGGTTGGTCGGCCATGGCCTTGTCTTGGTGCTCTGGTTGCTCGGGCGGTTGGTCGGCCATGATGGCGATGTACTGTTCTCAGGCTGCAGCGAGCTTCGGTGATGGGCGCAGCTGGGAGAGAAGTGCGGGCAGTAGAGAGGCGGTGGGGTAGATTAACGTATAAAGAGAAAGAAAGAAATAGGCCGTGGCCGTTTTGGTACAAGGACGTGGAATGAAAGAGGCGCGAACCGTGGAGCAGTACTGCGTCAGTGCCTGTGGTTAGGTACGGGTCCCGGAGCTTCTAGTCTGCCCCGCCACCCTAGCCTGCACCCTCGCTCGCCAACTCACGTGTACCAAAGAAGCTCGACGAAGCGCGACGAAGTAGTGCATAGTCATGGACTGTATTTCCGTCCTTATCTCCGGCTTATCTAGATCTGACAGATAGCTCCAGATGTGATCGCTGCCTTGCGCCCTGCTCAACGCGGTAGCGACCATTACCACCAATTTGGTTCATATCACCATCACTTCTCACAGCTTCCTGCCTTCATGAACCGCAGTTTCATAATTCCCAATGCCCGACATTAGATCTTGTTAAGTATCCATTTTCTAAGATCATGTATGCCTACCTTAGAATACTCTTTGTAGAATGCGACCCGGAACATGGCCACCCTTGGTGTTATATCCAAAAGGAAATCCAGAAACTATGACTTACCAGTTGGCCTGCGTTGTACTGGTACCTCTCTATGATCACTCCTGGCCGAGCCGAACGTTGGCATGATGGTGTTGGGAGGCCTCGTGATGGATAGACGATCTGCGTAGTCGACATACTTACCTTTGACAGGTTACGTGTATAGGATTTACACTGCTCGCCCCAGTTTACCGTAAGCTCTCTATCCTATAATATCCGAGATATCCTGTGTAACGAGAAAAGCTGGGTGCCTACCTCCTAGAAGTCTGAAAGACCTCGAAATCTTATCAAATCTAGTCGTTCGTGCTGATATAGGCGGTAGCGCCCTGTTCAGTTTGTTCAAAAGCAACTCCAATCTGTCATGTAATCCTCGGCCTTGTCTTCCGTATCCGCTTGTTTCCATATATCTTCTTCACCTGCGACGCCGTTTTCATCAACGTGCCAGCTTCCCTTCTCAACTAGTTCACACCAGTTGACTAGGACAGCGGCCAACGGTGTGCCATGTGTGGGTAGAAAGGGGGTACACGTCCCATGCCGATACAAAGCATCTTGACCTTGGTCGCTCGGCTTCACGATAGTTCCATTGTTCTTGCGCACGTGGCCATTAGCTCCGATGGGGAAAGGTAGGAGTAGAGAGATTGTGTGTGTGCGTGCCATCGGGGGTCAGATACAGACCAGCGCGGTTGTCAAGGGTGTGGGCATGTCCCCGTCTATCCTTCCACCGGTCACGATCAGACTCGAGAACGAGTTCGAGGCCTTGTGTCCGCCACGGGAACAAGAGAAATTTGGGTATATAGCCCATTTCATAGTCCGGAGTGGTGATGGAAGCGTCGGGGTGTAGCTCCTGTAATTTGGCACCTACACGGTGAACGAAGGCTTCGGTCGGAATGTCCAGTTGCGGAGCGATGGAAGTAAAGGTCGGCTTCTTCGCCCGAGAAAGGAATGCGCGTGCGAAAGACGGGATAGCCGGATATTTCTCCAAGATCTCAGATGATACCAAAACAGCGTCCACTTCTTCTTGCTTCTCCTCCTGGTGTGCTCCCGGGTCGTCATCTTTCCCTTGTCCCGGTAGGCGTTTAGTGATCGCGTCCACCAAACTATGCCACGCCTCCAGCGCGCCCTCCAGCTCAAGGCCAGTCCACTCGAGTAGCCTCCATCCCTGCGTAGTAAGTTCATCTCCCAGGTATTCTGCATCGATGACGAATTTCCCCGACTCAACGCAGTCCCAGTAAATTTCCAGCGCATTCTGAAGATCGTCCCAATAGAGGTCTTCAGGTTCGGAATACGGGGAGGCCATGTAGCCCACTTGCTGCGTCGATAGGCTGTACAAAAGACCCCCTGCATCATATCCAGGTCCTGTGTAAAGCAGGATGTAATCCTCGCGTTCCTCGATGATGCCAAGCCACATATCGGGGATCATATGGTTAGGCGAAGGGACACCGACGAGCAAGGGATTAAAGGCCAGATGTTGATGTTGTTCGGGCACGACGATGTCGATGCCTGATAGGAAGGCTGTGAGGTCATCGTCGAATTCTTCCTCGATATCTAGGGGCAAGGGAACGGGTGAGGAAGGATCTAGTGAGTGCGCGCTGAACCAGCTGCGTTGAATCTGAGGTTGGCGGTCGGGTGGAAGGTGCGAGCAAGCGTGGGCGACGATGCGGTTGTGTAGATCTATGCACTTTTCGACGTCCATGGTGACTGCAGAGTCGCAGAGAGTAGGCGGGGTTCGCGTTGGTGTACACGTGTTGGTGAGTTGAGGTAGCCGGAAGGCACGGTTAGGAAGCGCCCCATTCAAGGTAAGAACTGACTCGACACCCACCTAAAGCTGTTAATCTAGAGGTCTACATTGCGTTCGGGTCTTGGAAACATCCTGTTCTTCACCAATATAGTCTGCAGCGCGCCTGTCTAATGTCCTTCTTGTGTGCGGTGGACGAGTCTTAGACATACTGAGGAACACAGAAAACAGCAGGAGCAGGAAACAGAAGATGGCCTAGAACGCAGACGAAGAAGGCGTATGGATCCACGCACTAGGTCGACCCTGCCGTTCGACAGTGGTTCCTGCCTGTGGGAGACTGGTCGCGCTTGCCAGAGCACGCGCACGCAGAACAAGCTGGGGAAAGGGCAGGCGAGCTGTCAGGTCCAATCTGAAACCCTTGTCACGACCAAGACCTTGCCGGGGCAACCAGCAACACACGACGGTAACAACTGGTGCAAGGCGATTGCAGTCAAAGAACAGCCGTCTTGTGCATGAGAACAGGGCCTCCGTGTTATTGGCCGTGCTGGACATGTCAAACCGCACCGGGGGACAAGCTGCTGCCATGTGACGGCTCCGGGGCGTGTGCATGGGTAGTTTACCTTGTCGGTTAGGGCAAGGCGCTTGATGCAGATAGCTAATCGCCTTCTCCTCTTCTCTCGGCCAACCTACAGTACACGCCATCGCGACGACGCTTCACAAACCCTCTACGTGATAATCAACTGAGCAGCTGTCCAGGTACGTCACGCTCGCTCTCATTTCGCTCCCGCTAGGCCGCAATCGCCGAAGCGCTGCGTGGCGCAAGCAGCACTCAGCCGCAGTTGTTGCAGCACGACCCCCGTTGCGGCCATGGTGCCTAGAGCCATAACACCCTGAAGCCGCTGTTCTCCAACTTCAATCACCGCCAGTCCAGCTCTCCATCCACATACTCACCACCTCCCTCACAGATCTTGCTGCCCCCACCGCCGCCTCAATAACCCATCCCCCACGACACCATGGCCGAGATTCGACGAAAGCTCGTTATTGTCGGTGACGGCGCCTGTGGAAAGACCTGTCTGCTCATGTACGTCCTCGCCCTCGCCATCACTCTTGACACTCCTGCAAAACAACTGCTAACGGTGCCGTCTGCAGCGTCTTCTCCAAGGGCACCTTCCCCGAGGTCAGTACTCGCCGCCCGCCTCGCCTGCATCCCTGAGCCGCGTCAGCCTAGCTGTTCCGCCTGCACTCGCAGCCATCGCAGCCTGCACTCCCTCCCAACGCACCCACTAACGTGCCCGCCTGCAGGTCTACGTCCCCACCGTTTTCGAGAACTACGTCGCCGATGTCGAGGTCGACGGCAAGCACGTCGAGCTCGCCCTCTGGGATACCGCCGGCCAGGAAGATTACGACCGTCTGCGCCCTCTCTCCTACCCCGACTCGCACGTTATCCTGATTTGCTTCGCCATCGATTCGCCCGATTCGCTTGACAACGTCCAGGAGAAGGTACGGCAAATGCCTCACACGCGTACAAGCAGCCGCTGACACACAACAGTGGATCTCCGAGGTTCTGCACTTCTGCCAGGGCCTTCCCATCATCCTCGTCGGATGTAAGAAGGATCTGCGCTTCGACCAGAAGACGATTGAGGAGCTACACAAGACCTCGCAGAAGCCCGTGACACCCGAGCAGGTTAGTAGTCTCACTCCACCCGTCCATCACCCACTAACACCCCCAGGCCGAGGATGTGCGCAAGAAGATCGGTGCCCAGAAGTACCTCGAGTGCTCAGCCAAGACGAACGAGGGCGTCCGAGAAGTATTCGAGCACGCCACCCGGGCTGCCCTGTTGACCCGGAAAGAGAAGAAGACCAAGAAGTGCTTGATCTTGTAAGCCTGGACAAGACTTTGCGACGATATAGGTCGAGAGCCGCCGCAACCGCGCGATGTTGAGCCTGGACAAGAGCAACACGGTGGCGGCTATCGGGTGTCTAATTAGTGGTCTATTTGAGAAGGAGGGCAACATGTCATGGGCCGGTAGGGGTAGCAGACAAGCCGACTCCTTCCAGTCTGCTTGCAGTCTCATCTCTGACGGCACCTATACGAGGCGTTACTGTGCTGGATCTTTTGTGTGTTTGGACCGTACATCATCTTGGGGTAGTTCATGATGGGGTTATCTTCTCAGAAAGCGTGTGGATCGAGATTGAGCAAATGGTAGGATCTTTCTAATAACCGGTGCTTTGTTTTGCTCTTATCGTGTCTACCCATATCAATCGTTGAAGCCTGTGAACTATATACATGATTATCTTCTTGGTGACTACTACATTGTGACCCAACTTTCCATTGAGCAAAAGCTGTTAACGTGATGGCTCAACAGCATTTACGTCCACACATAGATGATGTGCCAATCTGAAACACGCCTCCCCATCATATCATCACATCGTGCATCCACCCTTATCTCGCACCAAACACCGCATATCTCTCGCATTATCTCCCTTCCCCTGACTCGCTCGTCACATTTCTCTCCACATACCAAGCCCATACTTATGCAACGCATGTACCAAGACCGTTCCTAAAGTATCCAATCCTCTTGACCCGGATGTGATGTTCCGATGTACCGCCCCGCCTTTAATGCAGGCAGCGCGAGGCGAGGAGAGTCTGAGGGCCTTGCTTAAGATGTGCTGGTGCTGGTACTGGTGCTGGTGCTGGTACTGGGCCGGTGGGTAAGCTTGGTGGGTGGGTACGCAGTAATGTGCTGTGGATAGGTGGATATGTAGAGCGGAAAGTGGAGATGCGCTGGGGGATCAGGCCACCAAGCCGGTGTCTGCACTGTTTGCTCTACGGTAGATGTGAGGTGGTTTGCGATGTTGGGCAAAGTATATGTACTATTCGTTGCCTTGGGGATCTTGGACGTTGGGCAGATGTGAAATCGTTATGATGTGTTGAATATGGATTTATGTATATATCTACAATGTGTCCGCGTAGTGTCACGCCCCAAGACCAGATTGCTGGTTGTATGTGCAACTCCAATGATGCACTATCCCTAAACGCCTGTGCTAGTAATGCTATCCGTACCCAAATCCTATATGCTACATGAATATTGAAAGCGCGGTGAATGCTCCAGCGAGCGCGAGGAAGGACGTCGAAGTCGAGGACACCGCAGCAGCAGCGCCCTCCTGATCTTGAGGCTGCCCAGCACCCGCGGTATTCGAGCTCGCTCCCCCAGTCCCAGTCGCTGTCCTCGATGCCGAAGGAGATGCGGTACCTATTAAGGTCATGTCAGTCAATGTTACTTTGATGTTACTTCGAAAAAGGTCCAAACATACCACTTGAGCTCTCACTCTCAGCAACAACATCCTGCTCCTGTCCCAACACACCCAATCCCACTCTACTGCCCTCGAAATCAAAAACGCTGTAGACGTTTTTGAGGAACACATCCCCCACCAGCCACTGGTTATCGGCAAACGTCTTCCTGCCTACAATATTACTCCTGCACAGCTCCGATCCGTCGTCTTTGCCTCCAACCCAATCTGCAGTGGAGATGTTGTATACACGGTCGTTGAAACTGAGCTGTATGGCAGCGCTCGTATCGCACGGCACGAAGAACGTCTCGCCATCTTGTTCAAACCCCTGGACTTGGGAATGCAGGGCCAGCGCATCCGGTTCAGGGATGAGGATGAAGGATGTGCCCGTGTCCATGATCGCTGTTCGGTCGACTCCAGTGGTGAGGTTAGCAGACTTTCCATCTACACCAGCGTCTTGCAACGGTATCTCCCAGAACCCTGACTCGTTGTCTACGCATTCGATGTAGTTGATGTCGCCAGTGAAACGATCTTTGTTCACCTCACCCAAGTTCAACTCTCCATCCATCTTGCCATCCTCGCCCCGACTCAGATGTATACCGTACATCTTTGCGCCGATGAGGTTCTGGCTCGAAAGCAGGTCCATAATTTGTGGTGCGTCAATTTCATCGTCGCCTGTGCCTTGGACGCCGCGGCCGATGCCGAGGATGCCGTCCATGGGGTATGCGCGGAACTCGTCGGATACGTTTGTCGCGAGGCCGAACGTGAGGGTGGGGGAGAGGGAGGGGCCGAGATGGAGTACGTCGGTTGCGAGGTGGCCTGACGAGGAACCTGTGCCGTAAGTTACGCTGAAGGGGGTTGTTGCGTCGGTCTGGGTGTTGTGTTAGTATTTGCATTTATGTATGACCTGACGAAAGATTGCCTAGGTGAAGAGGGATAGAGATGGGAAGCACAACGTACTTTCAGCGTACTCGAATCCGCCGTCCCGAAAGTCGCATGCGTTTTACACGCTTCGCTCTCGCACTCCTCGCTCATAACCCAGGTATTGCTCGCCGCTGAATCAAGCAGCAGATGGTATTCATCCGTGCTGTCGCCAAACGTTACGGCGACCATGTAGCTGAGATCACTGCCATCTTGGTCTATGGCTACGCTGTTTTCTTGGCTGGGGTTGTTCGAGTTGACGATGTTGTAGACGTTTTGGCGGGATCGTAATGAGGGTGTGCGTATGCGACGAAGCGGGAGCGTTATTGAGCGCGTGGTTCCTGCTTGAGAGGACGCTGGTTGTGGGGAGGTTCGATGCGATCGGGTTGATGTGGAGGAGGTTTTGCCGGAGGTATAGTGGTAAGGATAGAATGCTGTCGCTGTGGGTAGGATTGCTGCCGCTGAAAGCGCGAGCCAGGTTGGCAGGTAGGTGTGCATGGTGTTGTGACGTCGATGTCTAGAGTCTGGGCTCTCCAGTCGTTTCGCCTTTCCAATTCCTTCGTAACGTCTTCTCGAGGATTCGTGGTATTAAAGTCGCTTTCCAGTATTCCAAGTGCGATGTTGTCAACGCGTCCCGTTCGCCTTCAGCCGGCACGAATCCAATCCAATCCAATCGCCAGGAACGAATGTAAATAACAGGGCGCAATAAACGTATACACAAGAAGAAGAAAAATAACGACTACGCA